AACATAATCGCATGTACTTACTTTCTAAAAACATCTTCACGATATTCATATCAATAATGAATTACTTATTGTAGTTTACGGAAAACAATACTAGTAGTTATGTACTCTACTAGTTAGTGTTAGTCTTGTTGTTGTTGTTTTTTTTTTTGTCAAAGAGTCTTGTTGTTTAAACATGTACAAATGTATATTGGTGAAAAAGTAAAGTAGTTCAAGAAATGAGAATGGAAACATTTCTATCGGCCAATTCTTGGAATTATACCATGAGAAAAATCTTCTAGCGATTATTAATTACACGAAATGAAATATAATTAATTACACCCAGTGGCGTTACATACGAATGATGGATCAACAAACAGTTCTCCCAAAACAAAAACAACAAAAAGAAACCCAAATTTTAAATTTGTTAAGATTTTTTTTATTTCTTCTTTCTTAATTTAGACAAATTAATTAGTTTTTGTTTTGAGAAAAAATAATCATCAAATGTTCTCTTAAATCGATCATCTAATCAATGTAGACAACGTCAAGCAATTGCTGCTAATTTTTCTCAAGTCAACCACTGCATTCTGGATCGCATTAACCTGACGTGTTTCAATAAACCCGTCCACACATGCACCGTAATCAGACACTGCCGCAGTTAGATACGTGTTCATCGCCGGCACATTGCGTTTCCTTATGCTCTTTCTCGCGCTCGCCAAATTGTAAACCGCATCGCTCAGTGTCTCGTAACACGTGTTGACCGCTTGGTTACCATTTTTGAACCTAGCTGCTTCGGCTAGAGCTAGTTTGGTCTTAGCCTCCAAAGCCTGGATGGTTCGGTGCGTGGCTTTTCTAGGGCTCGTGACACGTTTCACCAGAGGTCGGCACAAAGATGGATACGCGGTGTGAGAGCAGAGGTTGATCATACGCGACTCCGCGACTTGACCAGCCATGAGAAAGATCAATACGGCAGCGGATGCCGCGACAGCCGCGAAACGCAGCTGGAATGTGTCGCGGCCCGCCATTTTATAAATATTTAATTATGTATTTGAATTGAGAAGAAATTAGCACCAGGTAATTTTTCAAAGCAGGAGTTAATCTTGTTATATATAGACAAAGTTTTTTTGGTTTTGAAATTGTTGGTGGTGCGCGTTTTGCGTTATCTCGTTTTATTTTGGTAGTGTATAATAATGTAATGCAATTTGAGGTTTATCTTGTTTTAAGGAGATTATCTTCTTAATCTTTTTTAAGCATAGGACAATACTTCTTTGATACATAAGTAGACTACGAAAACAAACTTTATCATAAAATGTTATTATATGATAACTTAAGTTTTGATTTGATTCATACTTAGTTACTTACCCTAGCCTCAACAAAGAAAAAGAAAACAATAAAACTAAATTAAGAAATGTGTCCATAATTTTTCGTTTTAAAGACGATAACAGGGGAAAGTTCCGAAACGTTGTCGGAATTAGAGTCATAGGTTCATAACCATGAATCAGGAAACAAAAATTACTCAAGAGTTCAAAATTAAGAAATGCTCAGCTACCAGAATGAGAAACAGAAATCAAATGGGTGAAAAATAGATTAGCAGCAAGAAAATATATCATTCTATTTGAACAAGATGCTCGTTCATGTGCCGGAACTTGCAGATATCATCACAGAAATCATCTGCACTGCTGTGATTGCTCTTCATCTGAAGAATCTTTATCACCATTCGTTTCAGACCTCTTGCGTATTTCAAAAGTGATTCAAGCGTGTTCATCTTCTGTTCTGCGTTCAGTGGAGATCTCACTGTGATAACAACCTCTTCCAAATACGGTATTGCAAATCCTGTCTCAAGCTGCAAAGAGAACGGAGGTTACATTATTGGTAAAAAGACTTTTGACTTCATAGGGAAGGTGTCTGATTAAGAAGAGATTATTTTTACCTTCTTAAGGCTGTTTTTCTGGCAAAGTGCAGCAAACATTGCTCCATGGATGTCAAATGTTTGAAGCTTTGGATGGTTATTGAAGAACTCGACAAAATCAATCTCAGGGAAAGGTTGAAGAGCCTCATTGCCTGTGAATTCGACCTTCATAAAGAGATGCTTCACGTCTCTTGCTTGCTGTAGTATCATGCATATCGCATCCCAACACCATTGTACACCTCGAATTGACAAGGCCTCAAGCGATGAAAGGTTATTGAAATCTACCATGTAGACTCTCCCTGTTAACCAATCAGAGACAAAGTAAGACAAATGAGATCTGCAGATGGTAATGGAAGAACCAAACAAGTTGAAACACAAGACTCATTATGCTTACCACCAAGATTGGAGATGGATAGGTTCTTTAAGAATCTGGTTTCAGGGACACGGATCCAGCTACAGCCTTGAACATCAAGGGACACTAATCTCGGACTCGTGAGGGCTAGCAAGCTGTTACCTGGTCCATAGAAATCCAGCTTACAGTGCTCCAAGTATGGCAGATCGATTGATATGGATTTAACTCCCTCACAAGCTAGTAGAAGCAAGTTACTCAGATTCGGGCATGCACGAAGAGCATGACACAGTGCGGAATCATCCGTTCTTGCTCCCACTATTTCAAGGCAGCGAAGGTTTGGGAACATATCCCACTTGGGAGGGCTCATCATTAAAACACCCCAAAGCCTCAAAGTCTCCAAATTCTTGGCCACACCAATGCAATCAAGCTTCAAAGGGCCTTCTACAATAACCTCTTCGCTAGCGAGATTATCCATTCTTAGCTCCAATAGTCTAAGAGATGAACTGACATGCATCATCCAAGATGCTAAGCCCTTGCTAGTGAATGGGCTATACACCACAAGCTTCTCAAGACGACGAGAAGAAGAGATCATCTTCCGAATTATTGTGTCAGAATGATCAGTCTCCATGATGCTTTCGAAAGAATTCCGGGGGAATACAATGCTCGTAACAGAGTCTGTTGACTCTTTCCATCGCTTGGAAACACAGTTGCAAGCAGCCACATCCCTTGCAGCAGTCAGGTTGGAAAGAATGTATTGAAGGATCGCATCAGGAAGAGAGTCCATTTGGCTGAGACATTTCATCGAACAGTTGGTAGTCAGCTAATGAAAAACAACTATATACAAAAATTCTCGTAAATGCAACAAATATTCATCTTTATACTTGGCATTATCAATCCATGAATATCAAACATGACAAAGCTAAAACCCCATCATTTCGCAGCACCCATATTTTTAATAAATGCAACACGACTACAGTGTAATGCAAATTTTAATGCCTACTAGATCTTGGCTTAAGAAACATTCAAGAGCCATAAATCCACTCAAATATACAGTTGAGATATGAAAATCGAGCCGCTTGTATAATAATAAGAAATACCCAAATACCAGATAGAATCAAGAAAACCCTAAGATGACATTTTACCAGAAAAAATGTTATAATCGATAGACAAAGAAGAGGAGACGAAACCCACATTTGCAAAACTATCTACAAGTTATACAAATCCACAGATTCCCAAAATATCAAGTCACAGATTAGATCCCGAGCATTGGAAGAGAAACATAAAAGCAATGGAACATAAACAGTACAGAGAGATTCATCTTCAAAACTTTATGGGTTAACCCTAAAATTGAGCTCCTTAGTGACGGAGAATGTAAATAAATCCCAGCACAGGTGAGGAAAGGAAAAACCCAAAAACAGTAGAATCGAAGAAAGCAAATAGATTTTTGGTTGGGAGAGGTTCTTACTGAATGAATCTCTTAAATCTGGGTCGACCTAGAATCTTGTGTGTGTGTGTGAGAGAGAGAGAGAGAGAGAGTGAGAGAGAGAGAGCTTCGAAATCTCAGACTCTGGGAAAATCTCAATCTGAGGAGAGGGATTGAGAGAGTGAGGGATTTGGGTATTATTTGTAAGAGAGAGAGAGAGAGAGGGTGGCGCGTGAAGAGAGACGGAAGGCGGAGTTTCAAATTTTGAAAAGAGATCTCTTTCTCTTTTCAAATTCATTTCGCAGCTTTTCCCCTTTTTTTTTTTTTTTTTTTTTTTAACTTCAAACAGAAAAACTACAATTTGGACTTTGCAATTGCATCATCATCAGATTCAACTTTGCATAGTATATGTTATTAACAAAATAAAATAAAGAAAGATTCAGATTTCAAGTATTTACCTAAAAAAAAAAAAGTTTTTGAAGCTACAAAAATAAAATAAACTTTTTTAAAAAGAAGTAAATATAAGGAATATATCCAACTAAAAAGAAAAAAATCTCTATGAAATGATCATTCTTTACTGTGTAAGTAGGAAACTTAATAAAAAGGGAAGATATCAGTTTTTACATTTTTCTAACAACTTTTTTTTTTTTTGACAGCACATTTTTGTAACAACTTATATATCTTTATTAAGTAATATTGTGAAAAGAGATGTTATAATAGGTAATGCTACATACTGGCATCCAACAAAAACTGCCACATGGCTCCTTTTATTGATTATTTTCTTAATTGCATTTGTATTTCTTTACTTATTTAGAATATATCAAATTAATTACAAAATTTATGTATCATTTTACTTTTTATACTTTTATTTTACTAAATTTCTAAAGTATACAAAAGTTCTTTTCTTTTCAAAAAATTGATTTTATAAGTTATACTGTTTAAAAATTAAACAATAATCAATAAAAAAGTATAATTGAAAATAATACAGAGACTAGCTACTGTAATTAATAAAAATAAGTATATCCATAAGTCTAATCAATTTATTCTTCAAAATATTATTACATATTTTGATTTGTAAAAAAATTAATTCTGACATAGTCGAATTTATTCTTTTATTATTGACCTGAAATTAAAAAGTATAATTTATGCAACTATGTTATGTAAATGAGTTAGCATATTTACGTTTTAGTTAACTGACTATTCGCGGTTTTTTTTAACTTATAGATTACCCGCAGTTTTTCAATAACGTATTATCTACGTTTTCTTTTAATTCGCGGTTTCTTTTTAAAACTTACAGACTATCAACAATTTTTTAAACTTATAGATTACCTCGATTTTTCAATAACGTATTATCTACGTTTGCTTTTTATAACGAATAATCCATGTTGTACATAAAGATAAATTAATTGATGTTTCAAAAGTGATTTTAAATAGAAAAATACATATATTTTTTGGTAAAAAGGATTTCAGATAGACAGCACTACACTAATGTCTAAACATTTTCAAAAATACTATACATGAAACATTTTTTATTTATTAAAAGATTATCTCCCAAATTGTCTCTAATTTTTACTGTTAGCATTGCGTCATAAAGTTACAATATAGAATAAATAGTGGGATCATGTTTTAGTCTCTCACACCACCATCCATCATCACTAATAAGCTTCTTCTGCTCAAAGTTGGTTGAGCCAACTCCTTCCGTTTTCTTCTTCCTCAAGACAAACCAGCTCTTGCAATGAAAAAGCAGTCGAAGGAGAACGCTCTCGCTCTTCAGCAGGAGAATCTCGACCTTGAGAACCCTGAACCTTCTCGATCCTCCGGTGGTCGGAGCTGTTCCTCTGCTTTCTCTCGTCTCGTTGGTTTCCGATGTCTCATCGTTTTGGTCCTAAGCTGTGCGATTCTTCTCTCTGCGATCTTCTGGCTGTTTCCGCGTCGATCGGTGTCTGAATTCAAAGCTGATGGGACAGTTAAACTCAATGGTAAGCGTCTTCCAACAGAAGTTTTAAACTTTTTGAGGATACATGTTGTATGATCTCTCAGTAACTTACTAGGGTTCTTGAATATTCTGGAGTAAAGAATCACTGTTTTGGCAAAGATTATACAGAAATTAAGAGAACCCTTTTTGATTAGTTGCAGATTTTTTAGTTTACTATCCTTGAGTTTTGTTTTGATTTATAGTTGTTGCTTAAAGGTGGAGACTTTAAGTCTACAAATTCAGTGAGGCACTTCTCATTTTTTATGCAAGTTCTCATGACTTCCTTTATTGTTCGGATTTAGTTCTAAGATCTTGTATGATACACTATATCTCAATGATCCTAGTTCTTAATGACTGAAATTTTCTTCTTATTTCCCTTAAACCAGCTTCAGTACAAGCTTCCTTTAGACTTAAAAAACCAGTTTCTGAAGTTGTTTCCCATAAAGGAAAACTAGAGCATGATATCCTTCGGAGCATAGGTCTTTCGAACAGCAGCAAGGTATAAATTTTCTCGAAAACTTATGCAATGTAGTGTTTGTAAGTTGTACTTTGTGAGCTCTAATATCCATCTACTGTTGAACAGGTGACTATACTGTCTCTGAATCAATCAGGTGCATCAAACTACACAGATGTGGAGTTTGCAGTTCTTCCTGTCCCTCCTGACCATGAAATAAGCAATCACTCGTTAAGCTTACTGCGATCATCTTTTGTTAAGCTGTTTGCTAAAAGATCGAAGCTGAAACTCACCACAAAAGGTTTCGGGAAGCCAACTTCTTTTCAGGTTTTGAAATTTCCTGGGGGAATAACTGTAGATCCACTGGAGCCTATCCCTGCCTCTGGACTAGCAATGGTTCTGTTTACCGGTACTATCAAAATTTCGATATCTAAGGTACAAGATAGAGTGGATCAGCTAAATGGTCAACTTGAGCATATGTTGAGTTTGGGGCTATATGAGAGTATTCATTTCCAATTCACAAATAAACAAGGATCTACCATATCACCACCGGTAACTCTTCAGGTTTGTGTTGCTTTCACCATGAGAAGACATCTTCAGCAGAGATTGGACCATTTTGCTCAGATCATTCAAACATCCCGTGCTAAAAATCTCGGTCTAGACGAGGCAGTTTTTGGAGAAGTCAAGAATATAACTTTCTCAACATACCCGGATGGCAAAGTTCTTGATTCTGATTTGGAATTGGCACCAGCGCCAAATCCTTGATTCTGATATGAAGCTTCTTACCAAACTTGACATGGCAGTTTATCTTTACCTATTTTAGGTACCTAATAATTCTTTTAGCAAGGACGTGTTATTAATGTCTCTTGTCTAATATATTAGAGATCGGTGACTAGTAGATAGCACCATCTCACTTCTAAGTAATTTCTGGCAGAATCTAGTTAGCTTTAGAACTAATTGTCTCATCGAGTTTGTATGAAACAAAGTTCTTTATTCTAATGAGATGCAGCTTGAGTTTACATATTTGCATATTGAGTTTATATAGCCTCCCTATAGTTTGTCACAAATGGAATATCGCCATTTTCTTTTAATCGGTTTAGCTCTTCCTCTAGCATCTTAATTACTTCATCTTTCTCTGCAAGAGTCTCTAGCAATGTTCTATTCTCTTTACTAAGAGCTTGAAACTGGCTGATGATTCCATCTATCTTTACTTCAATGGCTTCATCACTAAGCTCAAACGCAGTCTCTACAACCCTCAGAACCCGCCACAAGCTTACCACCACGATGAACCCGGTTCCTTTCTTCTCAAGAAGCACCTGGAGAATCAGAGCTACAATCGCAAGTGCACCATCCATTACACAACCAGGTTGTATGAAGAACGATTTACCCATAGCAACAGCCAGAGCCATGGATTTAACAGCGAGAATGCTCAGAATCGCGGTTCCTCCCCAACGGAACCATTCAATCTCGGTTTCATTTTTCTTGACTGATGTGCAGGAGAGCAGAGAAGAAGATAATTCGAGGGACGTTAAGATGATGTCGAGAGAGAGCAAGAAGATGGTGAAAAGGTGAACTTGGTATGACTCTAGGAACTCTAATAAAGTGATTCTCCATTTTTGTTTGATGGAGATGAGTTCTTCTTGTTGTTGTTTTGGAGAGAAGATGCAGAGTTGCCTCCATTTCCGTCGTCTGCACCAACTCTTGATCAGGTTTTGGATGGAGAATTCGACATTATTAACTGTTCCGGTATTGGTGGTGTTCATCGAAAGATGAAGAAAAGCTTTGGAGGTTGTTGGTAAATGGGTGATATGAGCTTTAAAGGAAGGCAACCATTTTTAATGGGTTTAGGAAATTAGTTTTTATTTGGAAAGATGACTTGAAAGGCAAGTAAGCCTTGAGATATGATGCAAGGCTTTAATTATTTAAGGACGAAGATAAATAAGCCGAGTTTTCTGTTGGTAATTAGTTAGAGAGAAGCTTGAGATATGATATAAATTATGTGAAGTTACCATTTCCACTATCCCATTGACAAAACTTTAAGAGAAAAAAACTACTAATTTCAAAATATCTTTAAGAAATTTGCTAGTGACCGTAATATTGGTTGGGAAAACTCATACACTAGGCTATTATTACAAGACCATTCCTTCGATGACGCCAATAAATAATGCAGAGAGACATTTTTAGATCTCTCTTTTGCTGATTGCTAAAGTGTGAGACATTTTTTCAGAGATTTGAATCCATGGCGGCTGCAAGTGGAGTGCGTAGGATCAAGCTAGGAAGCCAAGGTCTTCAAGTGTCAGCGCAAGGTCTTGGTTGTATGGGACTTTCCATCTTAGATGGAACCACTAAGCTAGACGCAGATCTAGTTGCTCTCATTCACCATGCCATTAACTCCGGCATCACGCTCCTCGACACCTCTGACATTTACGGTCCCGAGACCAACGAGTTGCTCCTTGGCCAGGTTCGAATTCTAGATATCCTATGTTTGTTCATACTCTATACATTTTGAAATTGTTTGGTTATGTGAATGTAATAAGGCTTTGAGAGATGGGATGAGGGAGAAAGTGGAATTGGCAACCAAATTTGGGATTCTCTTTAGAGATGAGAAATTGGGTTACAGGGGAGATCCTGCCTATGTGAGAGCTGCGTGTGAAGCCAGCTTAAAGGCGTTTAGGAGTTAGCTGCATCGATCTCTATTACCAGCATAGGATCGATACCACTGTCCCCATTGAAGTCACTGTAAGCTTCTTCTGGCCAATCTTTCTTCTTTCTTGAATCCCTGAGCTGATTGTTATGTCCTGTCATTTCAAAGATTGGAGAACTAAAGAAGCTAGTTGAAGAGGGTAAGATAAAGTACATTGGTTTGTCCGAAGCCTCTGCCTCAACTATAAGGCGAGCCCATGCTGTTCACCCGCTAACAGCCGTGCAGTTGGAATGGTCTTTGTGGTCGAGAGACGTTGAAGAAGACATCATTCCTACTTGCAGGTGCAGAATCTTCAGCAACATTTCTCTTTCTTGATAGAATTATGCTATGCTCATCTTGTAATGACCATTCTTTGCTTTGCTTTACATTCTCCAGGGAACTCGGGATTGGAATTGTAGCTTATAGTCCTCTGGGACGGGGCTTCTTTGCTGCAGGACCAAAGTTCATTGAGAATATGGACAATGGTGACTACAGAAAGGCAAGTCCGCAATTATATGAATGTTCAGTCTCTTTTAAGCACTTTCAAGACAAGACCCGAGTATCAATCATCTCAGTATGTTGTTGCTTTATTCCAGGGTTTACCGAGATTCCAGCAAGAGAACCTAGACCACAACAAGATTCTCTATGAGAAGGTCAATGCAATGGCAGAGAAGAAAAGCTGTACTCCTGCACAATTAGCTTTGGCATGGGTTCATCACCAAGGAAATGATGTCTGCCCAATCCCAGGAACCTCCAAGATCAAAAACCTTAATCAGAACATAGGAGCTTTATCTGTGAAACTCACTATCGAAGAGATGGCCGAGCTTGACGCCATGGGACATCCGGATTCTGTGAAAGGGGAAAGCTCACCCACCTATATAGTTACCTACAAGAATTCCGAAACTCCACCATTGTCTTCTTGGACTTCATAAACCAGCTGTTATAGTACTCTGCCATCGTGCTGAGCTATGTCTGAACTTCTATCCATTGTAGTCTTTAAGCTACATTATTGTTTGTCTGTTTCTGTCTTAAAAGTAATAAAGCTTTTTAAAGTAAATCTCTTATTAGGACTGAAGATTCTGCGAACATTATAACAATGAATTGAGAAAGGTGACAAGACGTATATACAATGATTTGTGTCACATCACGACTTAAACCATGAAAATGAAGTATAAGAACCTAGAGGATGATAAATTATTACCTTAACTAGAAGTTGTATTACACATAACCGGCCTCTGAAGACAACTCAAAAGAACTGTCAGTATACTAATTTAAGCCTCAACAAGAAGATTACAGCAAAAAGCTTTTCACTTCCATCAACCTATGCCGTCTTCTACAAATTGCAAGGAATCCTATGTTCGATTTACGGCCAAAGCATTTTGTGCGTATCAAAGACTTTTACCTTGGCTTTAGAAGGAGTGTAGTTCATTCTTATCAGTCAAATTTCCCGAGAGCACAAGGATTTTACCAAAACTGATTATTGAATCTTGTGTTCTGAAGCGGTGTCTGCAGTTGATAAACATTGCCATGTCATTCACGGAAACATTGCCACGTACCAGGTTCTTGTACTATTTACTTTAGCATCGGTCAAAATCCCATCAAATTCTCGGCTCTTGCTTCAGGTGGATGCTTGGTGGAATGTTGTACGATATTGGCTGCGAGACAGGGAAACAATTCACTAAACATCAAGCATGGCCATCTTCCAAGAGAAATGCTCAAGATATCAATAAACAAAAAAACATTAACGGTTTCTGTGTTCATAATTATATCTTTATGTTTCACTTTTAGGGTCAAAGAGTGCTAATTATTTGATGTCACATGGAGAACTTTTCAGGACTAGCTATTTTGACAAATATAGCAAAATCTATTTACCTGTGTTGTACTCGACAATAAATTGCTTGCAAGATCATCATTAATTGAAACTGGTAGAGCCGGCATTCGACTCATGATACCAGGCATCTCCTTCATGCTGCAGACGACACTAGGAATTTAGCAATTGACGCTTTAATTATAGAAATGAAAAGAAGACAGATGAGAATTCTCAATTGTGAAAAGTGAATTAGTATTAGATCCACATACTCAGTCAGAATGGCGCTGATATTGTTTCTTGCCTGATAAAAGAGACTGATGTTATCCTGCAGCTGTATGCACTAAGTTAGGATATCTATGTGCCAATTTAGTTGCAAAAGGAAACAGTATCAAATTCTTAACTAAAGAATATCTGAGCATGTGGGAAATCTGATATAAAATGTTTGATCAAACATTTAAGACAGTTTCAGTCTGTCAATCTTTTCGCATATCTAGCCACAAAGGATTGCAAGTATAAAATTACCTTGCACGCAGAGAGGTTGAAAGAAATCTGACTAAAAGCTTGAGCATTTTGCTGTAGAAGATCCATTACTGCGTCACTTAAACCTGCGAAGAGTTCAACAAAGGTACCTAGCTGACAATTTGATTTTGTTTATTTTTAAGATCACACAACCCAGAAGAAGAGCAAAGAATTAAAAGAGCACTAGACCTTCAAAAGGCATGCGTGTACTGTGGCACGTATTGTTCATGACATATAAAGCATTTTGTTGTGGCACATTGGATAGCATGTTCAGTTCTGGGGATGTATCCACCACCTTACCATGAAGAAGCATGGTCTTTAGAACCAAGTTCAAAAGCATATTGATATACAGAAGTTCATAAGACCCAGGAAGGAGAATTTGCATGATATGAAACACACACACTAACCCTTTATCAAGTGTCATAACAATCACTATAATACCCTATATATATCATTATAAAGATGCCCACAAGCTCAGATACTCATGTTAAAAGTAGTATATGCTAATACTTCTGCATAGTTGGATCCAAATCATTTGCTGCTCATCAGTCATTGAAAAATCGATCACAAACTTTACTGATTGTCTAGTCATGTACAGAAAATACCGAAAGTAGTCTTTTTTTCTTTAGTCAAGAACTAACAAATTATGTTCTCATGAAAAATCCACCATACAAGTAAATTAGCCAATTACAGTTGAAGATCTTCGTTGAAATACTACAGTTAGCACAGATTTGCACGAATAAAAGTCACATCTATGGGAAAATCCCTTTTAACCCAAAAGGTGAATGAGGCCATCTACCTCCATCGACTTATTAACTGGTAAATACGATACAAGAAAGGTTCAGGTGGGCAAGCATACCTTCCTATTGCTAAGGTTCTTAGCGGCATTATTATCTTCTCTTTTCCTCCGTTTTCTCTGTGAAAATAGATGCCCGACTTAGCCAAGAGAAACGTAAAGATCATGATAGATATTTAGTGAAAGATAAAATGAAGGCAAACAAGCACTAATGAAAAGAAAAAGGAAGAAATTTGGAACTTCATGTTTGATTACATCATATATCTGATTGAAAACTCAAGTCAATTATGACAGGACAGAGATACGAAGGAGTTGGAAATATGATGATAATAAAGCAATATACTTCATTAATTCATTTCGTTCCACATTATTTATTATGCAAACAAAAAACAATTAACATTATGATGTATGTAACTCATGCTGCGAGCAATATAATCATTTAAAAAAAATCCATAAATTTTTAGTAACTTCTAATCAAAGATAACACGCCAATATAATTTTCTTAAACTCCAAAAAGTATAGGGATCAGTTTCAGCCCTCACCCATAAAAGTAAAATCTTCTATGTCAGGATAACTACAGAAATAATTAAGAAAAAGCTTTAGGCTTATTTCCTTTTCCAACAATTCCCTCCACAATCATGGACTCGAAAGCTAATATAAAGACTAATCTAGCGTCAGCAATACTTGTCATTATCTCTTTTTGCTCGTCCTTTACCAGTGTTTAGACAATCTTTACGACATGGCAGTGACTTTTCATCAATAAAACCTCTAGCTTTTTTGTAGGACTTTATCTTTATCACAAAGCACACACGCAAGGTTACATCATCATGCTGATTCCCTCATATTTAACATATCCATTTAACAGTGACAGAAATATCCCTCAAGATAACTACTTCCATAACAGCCACATACAACTTGAAAAGGAATGCTAGAAACAGCTAATTAATTCTCTAGCAGAAGAAATATCCTTGAGAGAAGTCTAGAGTGGTAATTTTTCTTATCATCTAAGGAAAAGCACATGAACAACAAGACGTATGGACACAAGCTCAATGAAGCTTAACCAAAACGAAGACAACATTACGAACTTACCGTCATCCATCTACACCTCAATGCTACATCCCTTACAGTTTTATCCGGTAGAGTTGCAGCGATCTTTACATACTTTGAAATTTTGGGTTCATCTTTTAATCTACAAACGGAAGAAAACAAACAAAGATGTCATGCATGCAAACAAATAACCTCAGCTAGTTTCCCTAGAAAGTCGATGTATGAGAAATAACTTAACCTGAACTTACTAATGGTCCCAGTCCCAGAAAACAATGTCATGGAACACACAAAGGCGATACTTTTATAATTAGAAGGAACATACTTTAATAGTCCACCATTGAGAATATAATGTGCCCACTACTGGCATGTTATAAAACAATTCCCGATTTCAACTTTATGGTATTGTTATTGTAAAAATATAATCGTAGTTTGAAAAGCTACGAATGAACAAAGACACATTGGCATATTAAAAAAATAACAAATGGAAATATCCTAATACGTAGCAGAAACGAAGATACATACTTTGCAAGGCCGTTCTCCAACACATACTGTTCCTCAACGGACCAATCCATAACCAAAGCAGCTTCTTGTTTGACTCCTGCAGCTACCGAACCCGAAGAATCCACAGCTGGGTGAAACCCGGAAGTAGTGTTTATCCCATTGACACCGTAATTGGTAGGGAATACAAGACCGGAGGTGCTAGTACTTGGCAAGCAGTGATTATCCATTGGAATCATTCGTGGAGATTTGATAATTGAAGCTGATTTGAGCTACGAGGGTGTCCCAAAGTTATCAAATTTAGGGTTTTAGCAAATCCAGAAACAAATAAAATCCGGGGAAAAAACAGCGTAAGAGGAGAAACCCACCTCAGATTTGGCATCAACGAAGAAGGTAGAGGGAAGCTCTAGTCAGCGGCAGTGATGTCGTAATTAGAGATGTAACCGACAAGAGAGAACGCAAGCAAACACCTCCGAGATGCTCCGGCGAGCAGTAGAAATTATAAAGGATGTATGTGATGAGCAAAGAAGATCGATCAGAGAGTGGCAGCTAATTGAGAACTCCAATGGGAGAAAATCGAGAGAGAGAGAGAGAGAGAGAAAGAAAGAGAGTGTGTTTGTTTACTAGTAATTGGCTGTTGTTTGTTTCTTGCAGAACCACTTTGTTGTATTCATACGCCTTTGCTTTTTTATTTTTTATTTGCCTCCGTTTCCTTTTTTTCATAATTTTTTTGTAATAGCAAATTAAAATTCTACTGTTGATTTTTTATTTATTAACAATTTAATCACATTCACTTGAGTATAGTTTTAGATTTCTAGATAAATAAAAAACCAATGAGCTTTATTAGCTTTAGAGTTTAAAGATATCTAGGCATCAATATGTAGATATCAATCTAGATTTGGATGGAGATCTTGGCATATTATGAGTATCGGTTAAAATTTTAGATTCATTTTCTGATTGTAACTAAACATAAAAAAAAAAGTGAACTTTTCTTCTATTAGTATAATGGTGGGCGTCAGAGTGACCCATGACATCTGAGTGGGCATTACATATATACATAATAGTTTTTTTTTTTACCTAAATATTCACTTAACACTATTAAACATTCGTTGTTAATACTAATCAAAACCCACTTGTTGGGTTTCGAACTCACACATTGTGGTTAGAATGTTAAGCCAAAATAATAGAGAACATTATAAGTTAAGTATCACAAACAATAAGGCTTTTTGTATTTATACATTGTTTTTTTCCTTCTAATAAGGTCAATTGCTCCTTAAGAAGTCTTTATGATGACAAAGAATCTACCAATGAAGCCTAAAGCTTGCACCTTGCATTAGCGGGTGAGCAAAATATGCCCCAACCGTTAACGCAGTGATTGCAAGATATGGCAACCGAACAAATTCTTTGTAGTAATCCTCAGGCAAAACTTGCCGCCCTTCGAAAATCGCAGCAAATGGAATCACACTTGTTCTCTTCTTGATGCTTTCAAAAGCCTCTCCGTATCTTTTAGCTAATCTCCTGTCTCCATTCCACGCCCCAAACAAATGGTGTGCAATCAAACCGAGAGAAGCCGATGCAGCTACTGTGTTTCCGATCCAGAGAGTGTGTGCTAAACACCAAACAATTTGTCCAACCATCTGGAGAAGATAAGACACAAAATGAGCAGAACTCAAGTCTCATGAACATAGCCAGTAGAATAAATCTCGGTTTTTGAAGATGAAGAGTGAAAGAGAACAAACCAAAACTGAAGCTATTAAATCTAATTTTCTACATATCCATCAAGTTTTTTTCAAACATATGATGAAGCAATTGGATTAGAATGTAGAGATCAAAAGCAATTGGATTAGAATAGAGATTAAAAGCAATATCAGGTAAAGTAATCAAGCATTGATGTAATAAACACAGCAGAATGAGGATATTCGATTGTGCTGATGTAATGGGTATATTAAGGCAATGGCCAATACCTGCACATGAGTGATTCTAATGATTGGGGTCTCATTAACACAGCCACTATTAAACCTCGGTTCATAAAAATCCAATCTTTATGTATATTTTCAAGTTTTTGAAACACAAATATGAAGCAAACCATCCTCATACGTAGGCATACAGTACTAGGGAAATGTTCAATACCTGAGGATGTCGAGTGATTCTCATGATGCCGGTCTCCCAGAGATGCATCTTCGGTTTGTCAACAGCTGCTACCTCCAGAAGATTGAAGGTTGAAGGATATAGAAAGAAGAAGGATACAAAATTAGCGACCCAAATAGCTTCATGGATTCCAGGAACACCCTGAAGCTGCCATAACTGTGAGCCATCGTATCTATGGTTTATAAAGTAAACCTGAAAGAAGAACAAGGCATTGCATATACCATAAGAGAACTCAAACAGGTCTTCATTTCACCGATTAGGAGAAAATTTGCAGAGTTAGAAGAGAGTACTCACAATGGTGCTCATAGCTAAAGGAAGAGAGATTCCAGCAAACAAAACACGAAATGCTCGTTCACCTATGAGTTTCTCTCCTATATCCCTGAGACTAGCTAAACCACTATGTACAATTGCAAATATAAGGATAAGCATTAACATAGCAACCTGCAAAACAAGTGGTTTTAACAATCAAATAACTCTCGATGATTTTGCCTTCTTGGAAATTGAAATTGGTTCAGTTACTGTTATCATACCTCCGGTGAGCCGGAGATGTTAGAGACGGTGTCGATGAATGATTTTCCGAAACCGGTGGAATTATCGATCCAAACAACATTGAGGATGAAGAGAACAACTCCAAGGACAACACCGAAATAAACCCAGGAAACAAGCTTCTGTTTCCCTAATTCAAAAGCAGCAGAATCTTCGCCGATCAGTAGAGTAGGACTCTCGGCGTCAGAGGCGATTGGTTGGTCTTCCCGGAGAGTGCTATGAACGAGAATTTTCCGAATTATCGGTGACGAAGAAGAAAGCAAGTTAGTCGAGCTTCCGAGACGAGGATGAGCTGGGATACGCCGGATTAAGGTGATGTTAGGGCGGCGAGGAGAGGGAGGAAGAAGAAGAAGCGAAGGTGGGCTCGAGAGAAGGAGATGATAAACCGCCATTGTTCTTGTTGGTAAAAAATCTTTCGAAGAAGAAATAATAAACGATGTCGTTTTTTTTTTTTTTTTTTTTTTTTCGCCAACGATGTCGTTTTAAATGCGCTTCTTGCTGTGAATTCTCTGGAATTTCTTTTTTCTTCTATAAGTCACATTTAGTGATGGTTACTGGTTAGTGATCATTTTCTGAATTTTGTTTTCCCTAAATTACCTTTTCCTTGCAGAAAAAAGAAAACAATTCCACTGACATTTCATACTAGTGGAATTTCATAAAAAAAATTCCAACAAGTCTTCTAATTGCACCCAAAAAAACCAAAAAAAAAAATTGTATTTACAACAAATTTTGCATCCATAGCGCACGTCTATCAGACTTGACTTCCAGCGAACCTTGCTTTGTACTGTTGCACTTCTTCATCTTTCTGTGATCATATGATCAATTCACAAGTTATAATTCAAATGCTACATATGGCATTATAACATACTACAATCCTAAAAATTAGAGAGAGAGAGAGAGAGAGCTATGTACCAGTTCCTTGAACAATGGTTGAGGAGTGCCTATCCTGTGGCTTGGAGGCAGAATCTCCCAAGGTCTACTTGCTTGTAATACCTCTGCTCTCTCGTCGGAGAGTGAAAAATGTGGAGGCAAATTTAGCTGTTTGAATACCTACAGAATTGCAAGAGACAGCACTAATCACACGCTTGGCATTCTACTAAAACTATATAGAGTCAATGTTTCCGAGACAACTACCTCATGAGAAAAAGATGGCATGAAAGGTTCTAACAATCGTGCAAGAAGGTGTACTAAACCAGCAGCACTTCTTACAACAATTGCACAGGAAGGTTTATCTTCCTTGTAAAGTTTCCAAAATTCGCTGGTCTACAGGGACAAAGTTGGTTAGATTGAACAGCCAATAAATTTAGTTTATCTAGTTTGTTAATGAGAATAGAATTACCTGCAAGTATGCGTTCCCTTCACCCGAAATGAGCATAGCAGTTTTCAGCCCCTGCTTGAGCTTAACCTGCATTAAATGAACAAAAGCATTTATTAAGAAAATAAGAAACCACGCACTGAAACTAAGATATAAGCCCATACTAGACCAAAGTTCATATAATATCCCTCACCTTTTCCATGGCTTCAACATACTCCTCCACCAATTTCCCAACCTTTTCACTTAGTGACATCGTTAGTTGATGAGATTCAGCACCAGGAGCATCAGGAATGATAGACCCATAACCTTCACATCAGTTATAGTAAGGCAGGAGAAACATCAGAGACAGAAGCCTTGGCCCAGTTGTCAAAAAAGTATCTGTTAAATTTGGAAAGACATAACCAACCTATATTTTCTGGCTTTGCTATAAAACTCACAACTCGATTAACAAAATTGCCTAGGTTTTTCAACAACTCGTCATTCAGTTTTGCTTGCAAATCTTCCCATTCAAACGATGTGTCAGATACCTAGATGGCCAATCCCCAGAATCAATCAGTGTTGGTGCATCAACACACTTATATAAGCCTATGATGAATGAAGAAAAAACGTTTCAGTTTTGTTGCAGTAATCAGTTAGTTACTTACCTCAGGCCTGTTGATCAGCAAGTAGTATCTCCATACTTCTACAGGGATATTTGTATCTTTTACATCATTACCAAACAATCCAACACCTTTACTCTTGGAGAACTTTCCTGAAAACCCAAACAAACACATGTCCTTGTTTTCAATAAATGACAGAGAAAGCAAAGCAAACAATAATAATTTAATGGTGAAACATCAACTGACCGCCTTGGTATGTCAAATATTCAGTCACACTGACTGTCTTCATCAATGTCCAATTTTCCCCAGTTCCAAGCTGGGTAGAAGGAAACATCACCTGCATACCAACAAATTTGGCAGTTGAAACAGTCAGATTTACAAAGATTCATAAACATTTCTTAGGGAGACCAGGAGGTAGCTTCAGAAAAGACAAGAACCAAACAGACTTTTGCAGTGAAAACAAGATGAAGAAAGAGGAAATAACTAAAACCATTGGAACAAGTTATTGGTGGTAAAGTGTTATATGTACTCACAGTGTGAAATGGCACATTGTCTTTCCCCATAAACTGATAAAGCTCAGCATTCTTAGGATTCTTCCACCACTGCTCCCATTCAGATGTGTAGCATGACGTTATTGAGACGTATCCAATAGGAGCATCAAACCAAACGTAGAAGACTTTATCCTTATATTTCTCATGTGGGACTGGAACTCCCCACTTTAAATCCCTTGTAATGCATCTCTGTTGAAGCCCTTCCCTAATCCATGCATTTGTCGTTTGAACAGCATTTCTACTCCAAGATCCACGAACAGATGTCCCATTAATATACGCTTCCAACTGAGCCTTCAGCTTCGGAAGGTCAATAAATAGGTGGTCTGTGTCGCGAATTTCGGGTGTGGTTTGACAGACCTGTTTGAGAGATATAAAACATAAGTACTCACAACAATTACCTGCACATTTATAGGAAAGCCAAATCAACAAATCATAGCTCACCTTGCACCTCGGAGCAATGAGTTCAGTAGGATTCAGGAGCTTTCCACAGCTTTCGCACTGATCTCCACGAGCAGAGTCATAGTTACATAGTGGACAGGAACCCTCAACAAGCCGGTCAGCTAAGAACTTGTTGCATGTATCGCAGTAAAGCTGAAGACACAATGTGACACAAAGACTTGAGACTTAAAACCCTTTCTACTAAAGAAGAAAATATAGATGATCTTGGGATCAAATAAGGCTAATAGGCATAATTTGAGTAAAAGCATTCACCTGCTGTATAGTGTTCTCTGAAATCAACTTGTTTTCCCACAATTTGTTGAAAATTTCTTGGCACACTTGTGTATGTTGTGGAGTTGAAGTTCGGCCAAACTGGTCAAAACTAATATCAAACCAGTCATAAACTTCTTTATGAATGGCATGGTACCTAAATGCACAAAAAAGAAAGAAACATGGTAAGTCCACTGAGTAAGATTCAGAATTCGTATCATGATACAAATCAGCACATAAACCTACACATTGCAAATCCAGTGATTAAAAATAGGAAAACAAGAGGCATTACTTGTCACAGATTTCTCTTGGGGTGCGATTCTCCTCAAGAGCTTTGGTCTCAGTAGCAGTCCCATATTCATCAGTCCCACATATATATATGGCATTATAGCCACGGAGACGACAGTATCTAGCATACACATCAGCGCTTAGAACACCTGTACACACACACACACAAAACATTGCATAAACCCAGCACGAAACCTGAAAATAGTCATCCTCACAGGCACAACAAATAAGAAAACCATAATATCGACAAGTGTAAAGAGAAGAAGAAGGATTCAATTACATCCAATGATGTTTCCGAGATGAGGGACGTTGTTGACGTAAGGCAGAGCACTTGTGATTAGTATATTTCTTTTGCCAGAGATCGGCAACTTGGGATCATCATCATCCATCGCGAAACAACAAGAGCACAAGCTAATTATGTTTTTCTTGCAGACTCCGAAACAATTGAGAAAGTTGGAGACGAAACTTGGGGTCGATCCTGCCGTCTTCCATCGCGAAACAACAAGAGCACAAGCTAATTAGGTTTTTTTTTTTTCTTCAAAGACTCTGGAAACAATTGAGAAAGATGAAGAGGGAATTATTTGAAATCGGTAGTGTCTATAATATAGGTGGTTTCCTAAATCCTTTGTTTATTAGGATTGTTAATTGCCGTGCCGGTTCATTACTCCTAATTAATCACACCATCTTAATTCGCTCTAACCAAACTTGGTCCTGCTTAGATCTTTTCCCCCTTTTGTTGCTAGGGAAACAGAGGTCCGATATCAGATAAAGCTTTCAAAATTTCAATAATTTTTCATTGTGCATAAGACTTAATGTCTTTAATATAGTTTGTGATTTCAATTACTTCACAACAAAAAATTAAAATCATCCCAGAAAAAACAAATATAGGATCCGTTCTACCACCAAATCTTTCACTTTCTTGACTCAAAAACAAAAACTTGGGTAGTCTTGCTATCAGTTTTCGTGCAATGCTTTGGTCAGGTAAAGCCTGCTGAAGTTCTGGCCAGCCACTCTGCATAGCAACAGGTAGACTTCATTGTAAGTATCTTTCAAAGCTCGAAAATGGTGAAACGGTTATAAAGGAGTTAACACGAGAACATACCCATTGATTTGGCCACAGAAGTTTGAGACTTGGTTTGTGATGAGGAAACTCTCTAGCCTTGATGGTTCAGGGATCGCCTTAAAAATTGGGTTTGAAGGATCCTCTTCGGGCAAAGGCTCCTCTCCAGCTGATTTCCGAGCCATGTTCTCCGTCCTATAAACCAAACCTCTTTGTTAGTTGGAAGATCATCAAGACAAGTAAAAGCTGAAGACAAATGTTATATAGGGCATTCACAACTCTTGTAAGTAAATTTGTATCCCCTTCCAAGATAACAAGGGAGTGAAACAAACCAAACCAGAACTAGAACAAAAAGGTTCTGCTAGAAATATAAACCTACCTTCTCTTCTGGAGCCAGGCTTGCTGTTGTGCTTGCTGACGAGACAGGTTCCGGTAGTAATACTGGAACTGGAAAAATAAATTAAGATTTCACATTAATATCGGTTGACTTCTGATGATGAGAATTGAACAAAAGAGCAGAATAAACCACACCTTCTGCTGCTCCATAGATAAATCATCCATGCATTTAATCAAAAACTCCATATTGTTCTCAAGGAAAGGAGTTGTTGATGAGTGTAGACGATCATAATCGCCCTAGAAAGGAGAAAATAAAAGTATTAAGAGTCAAAATCTGAAATACTGACAGCAAGCGAGAATCACTATCCAGATACTAGTATTGTACCTGTGAGACAGGTGTATCTGTCTCCAGTTCGGTCATAAAGGCACTGACAAGTGCAGAATTTGAAACCTTGATCTGTAAAAAGAAAGCAATCGACAATGAAACCAAAAAATTAGGTCGGAGGAACAAATAATTAGGTAACCCAGTTAAAGATTTGCTGGCAAGACTTCAACATCGAAGAGAGCTAGAGACTTACAGGTATTTCCTCAAAAATATCCATCCAGGAGAAATTTTTCTCTCTCAACCTGACAAAGATAGTGTTTAAAACATTACAACTATCCTATATGGCTCATAAAACCTAGATTTTTTATGGATCAAGATACATACTTCTCGCCAGTAAAGTTTCCGCCTCGGTACAACTCCATAAAGGAATCTGAAAGCTTCAAAGCCTTCAAAGCTAGGACGCCTAGGTCAGCTTTAGAGGGATCATATATGATGCACACACACCTCTTAATATTCTCCTGTAGATGCAGAAGAAATAATTTCTTAAAGTTCATATCTTGATTTTGCAAGGGATTTGTAGCAGATTTGCGGACAAAAGTCTACACATATATTTGCACGATCCAGTTTACACTTTACAATCAACTTTCACACTAGAATAGATGCCAATATACCTATTGTACAATAGAGTAGCCATGCTATACATAGAAATTTCCAGCATAACATATGAATAGATCAAATCTAGAATGTTATAATCACATGGTACTATGGTAGACATGATCTTGAAAAGTACCTGGTAATTCATGAAGGTCTCAATCAGTTCCACAGTCTGATACGAACCAAGAACTGTAGATTGATACCTGAACAAAGAATAGGCAGATCTTAAATACATTCACACAAGAATATTTAACAAGTGAACTCAGAATGATGACATTAAAAAACCTACCAGCCAACAGTGTTGTTGTCAACATTAACCTCCCTCAGACATCTCATCATCTCAAGCTGATAATTCGCACCATCAGCTTCGATTTCTTCATCATCATCCCTGACCTGTGCTCGATTAAGATACAGGTAGCAATAAGTCACACAGGTACATTGATCAGAAATCAGCTTTAAAGTTCTTACAATGCGAGTAAACTCTTAAACTTACCGGGAAAGGAAAACAATTGGTAACTTCAAGGACGCTACCAACATCAAGTCCAAGAAGCTGTCCTGTGACAAGGGTCGGTGCAAACTCCTTGCAATGTTTGATCATCTTTAGCACAGCCTATCACATAAACAAACAAATGCTCAGTATCACAACTTCAAACCAAATGACAAGGGCTAATGAAATAGCGAGACCAATCACACCATATCAAACACCAAAGGTAAGCAGGAAACGAGGAGAAACCCTAAAAATCCTAAAATCAGAGAACAGTATAAAACGTTACCAGTCCTTCGATCTGAACAACTCTAAGCGGAGGAGCCACCGCCTCATCCTTCGATATCGCCTGCAAAAACGACCTAGCCACTGCAGAAACAAACCACGGAAGAAACTCAGCCCGAAATATACAGAAATCGTCAAAACATAGAAGCGAAAATTTTGAGAGAGCGTAAATTCTATGTGCAAGTGAAGAACGGAGAGAAAAATTGTACTGACTGGTTGCCATTAAAATAGTCTCCGGAGATAGTGCAAGCTTCCTAGGTAAATGAATTTGATTCTCCGCCGTGAAACCCTAACGAGGTGATATTTCTATCTGCCGGCGGCGGAGTTGAGTAAGAGAAAGAGCCTTTATGTGTTTGATAGGGCTTCTTCTCGTGGATTCGCAGATTTTTTCTTTTTTTTTCTCCAATTTGGGTGTAGAGAGAGGAGAAAAAAAAAAACGTTTCGGAATTAAAGTTGGAAACTAAAATTGCAAAAGAGCCCTCAAACTTGAGATTTTTGTAGAATGAACCCTAAATGTTTTCAGAGCTACAATAAGGATGGACCCAGCCCATGGACCTATAAATGCTATTCTTTTGTAAAAGGCCAGGACCATAATATTCCTCAAAATATTGAACATTTAATTTAATACCATTACACTAACCAACTAGTCAAAACTTCGAAAAAAACAAACAGTCCTCATGGAGTCAACAAGAATCCAAAACTTTTAGAATTTTCCCTCCAAAAGAAGACTAATTCAAAGTCTAATCTTTAAATAACCAACTTTAAAAGTCTCTAAGACATGGTCACGTCATAAGTCCGTAAGATAATCAACAATGTCCTAAACATACGGCAAAATTGTAGAGAATGACTAGTGTAAAATGTAAATCAGAAATAAATTGAACGTAAATCAAATATGAATAAACGTATTAAATGTACTATAGTTTATTTACTCGAAAGTCGGAAAGCTTCATGATTCATTGAAGGTCAAAGAAGTCAACAATAATATTGATGCCAATTAAATGACTGCAGTCTCTTTGCGGGGTTGGTGTTTGGACTGGTGGACCGCTGGTTAATAATTAACTCACCCTTTACGTGAACTCAATTCTCACCTCTTCTTCACGCTTAAGCTAAGCAATCCTAATTAAATAACATCCTCGATTTTAGTTATAATAAAGATTGAATACCAACCATGAATGTTAACACATCTTAAATTTCTTCCCAAACAAAAATCCAACCATCTACATCCTCATCGTAAAAACATGAGGTCCATATTAAAATACACTTTTATATTATAAAATCATGTGAAGAGTGAAGACTCAACAAGAAAAAGAGGTAGGAAAAGAAAGCAGCTCAATAATTGGTAGAGAGGGCAAAGAGGAACCAGAGACACCAATTGAATAAAATTGAAAAACAATGTCTCTCTTTACTTAAAATAAATCATCTCTAAAATTAAATATACCCATCACCATATTTCTTCTGCACCATACCACACTTCACCATAAAATCTGTATATAAATTTTCTCAGCAGCAGTAACTACCTTGGCCCCAAAACCTATCTGTCTCTGCATCTTGGCAAAGTAATAGCAACCATAACAATAACGACAAAAAAATACGTGAATTATTTTCTCTTTTATTTCCTTCCTTCGTCTCTCCTTCATAAAACCATTATTTTATACTATAATACTACTATATTCATGAATGCATTGAAGAAGGCACAGTGAGAAAAAAAAAAAAAAAAAGGTTTTTCAGGCATGGCTTCACGTGATGACATCTTCCTCGACCAAAAACTTCGAGAAAAGATACTCAGAAAGTGAGTGTAAGAGAGAGAGAGAGAGAGAGAGAGACAATGCCGGAAATTTTTAAAGCTTCTTCTTCTCTTCTTCATGCTCACTACCAGACGATTTTCATCCGCCATTAAAGAGCAGAGCTCTCACTTTCTTCTTCTTCTTTTTTGACCTTTCCTTTTTTGCTTCGATCGAGATGCTTTAGCATAATGGGGCAGATCTGGAAAGTGACTTAATAATGGAAAGTGATGGCTTTGAGGAGATTCATGGGATGCTTTTTATGGAAACTCGATTTCGAACTGTATCAATCATTTCTTTATGAGCTGAGGAAAAAGAGCCACTCTTTTCGATTTGATTGAATCATTCATTTCATCGAACAATGGCTTCTTCTTCTTCTTCTTCAATTACGTTTTTAGTAGTCTTTGCATTTACAGTATTCTTCTGTTTGGTTTCTCCGGCGAGATCTAGCGACGTCGAAGCTTTACTAAGCTTGAAATCCTCAATCGATCCATCTAATTCGATTTCATGGCGAGGAACAGATCTCTGCAACTGGCAAGGTGTTAGAGAATGTATGAACGGAAGAGTCTCCAAGCTTGTTCTTGAGTTTTTGAATCTCACTGGCTCACTCGACCAGAGGAGTTTAAACCAATTGGATCAACTTAGGGTTCTTAGTTTCAAAGCTAACTCTCTCTCCGGTTCAATCCCTAATCTCTCCGGTTTGGTTAATCTGAAATCGGTTTTTCTCAACGATAACAACTTCTCCGGCGAGTTCCCGGAGTCTCTCACGTCTCTTCACCGATTGAAAACCATTTTCCTCTCCGGTAACAGATTGTCCGGTCGAATCCCTAGCTCGTTGCTCCGTCTCTCTCGTCTTTACACGCTCAATGTTCAGGACAATTTCTTCACTGGTTCAATCCCTCCTCTTAACCAGACGAGTCTCAGATACTTCAATGTATCCAACAATCAGCTCTCTGGTCAAATTCCACCGACACGAGCTCTGAAGCAGTTTGATGAGTCATCGTTTACCGGAAATGTCGCTCTTTGCGGCGATCAGATTCATAGTCCATGCGGAATCTCACCTGCGCCGTCTGCGAAACCAACGCCTATACCTAAGTCTAAGAAGAGCAAAGCGAAGCTAATCGGAATTATCGCCGGAAGCGTCGCCGGTGGAGTACTAATCCTTATCTTGCTGTTGACGTTGCTTATCGTCTGCTGGCGACGGAAGCGGCGGAGTCAAGCATCGAGGGAAGATAGAAAAGGTAAAGGAATAGTTGAAGCAGAAGGAGCAACAACTGCAGAGACAGAGAGAGACATTGAGAGGAAAGACAGAGGTTTCTCATGGGAAAGAGGCGAAGAGGGAGCAGTGGGAACTCTGGTTTTCCTTGGAACCAGTGATTCAGGCGAGACGGTGGTGAGATACACCATGGAAGATCTGCTTAAAGCTTCGGCAGAGACACTGGGAAGAGGAACGTTAGGGAGTACTTACAAGGCTGTGATGGAGTCTGGTTTCATCGTCACTGTGAAGAGGCTCAAGAACGCTAGGTATCCTCGCATGGAGGAATTCAAGAGACATGTTGAGATCCTTGGACAGCTCAAACACCCAAATCTGGTGCCTCTCAGAGCCTATTTCCAAGCCAAAGAAGAACGCTTGCTTGTCTACGATTACTTCCCCAATGGCAGTCTCTTCACTCTTATTCACGGTATGTACCTTAGCTTCCGTCAAGATTCTTGTTTTATTGCAATGCAGAGATTTGATGGTTTGGATATAAACTTGGATACATTCGCCAGCCTTCATTGTTTTTTGTGTGTACACATCTGTTTGTAGGAACTAGGGCTTCTGGAAGTGGGAAGCCTCTTCACTGGACGTCATGCCTGAAAATAGCTGAGGACTTGGCCTCAGCTCTGCTCTACATTCATCAGAATCCTGGCCTAACTCATGGGAACTTGAAATCGTCCAATGTCTTGTTAGGTCCTGATTTTGAGTCCTGCCTCACAGATTACGGGCTCAGCACTCTCCATGACCCTGACTCGGCTGAAGAAACAAGCGCAGTCTCTCTCTTTTACAAAGCTCCAGAGTGCAGAGACCCAAGGAAAGCCTCTACACAGCCTGCTGATGTCTATAGCTTTGGGGTCCTTCTTCTTGAGCTTCTAACAGGTAGAACACCATTCCAGGACCTTGTTCAAGAATATGGGTCAGATATCTCAAGATGGGTGCGTGCAGTGAGAGAGGAAGAGACTGAATCAGGCGAGGAGCCGACTTCTTCAGGCAACGAAGCATCTGAGGAGAAACTTCAGGCACTTCTAAGTATTGCAACGGTTTGTGTGACCATTCAACCCGAAAACCGGCCTGTGATGAGAGAGGTGTTGAAGATGGTGAGGGATGCAAGGGCTGAAGCACCATTCTCGTCTAACAGTAGTGAACATTCGCCCGGGAGATGGTCGGATACCGTTCAGAGCTTGCCAAGGGATGATCAAGTGAGCATCTAGAGAAATTGGCTGGGCCTTCTTCATTGCTTTCCTAGAATGACACGTGTGATTCTTGAAGTAGGGTTCATAGTGTAAAGCTTCTTTTTATTTTGTAACGCCATTTTGATTCATCGACGTTGTAGGACTTGCATAAGATCTGCTGAATTGGTAAAATTTGAGGTGCTGGTACTGAGTTAACTGAAGAACAGAAGAATCTTTTTTCATTCTTACCCTTTTTTTAAGTAACACGACATTCAATAATAGCATCTAGCCCCATGTGTAATACAACTTTAAAAAGGAAAGGAAATCAAGTTGAGTATAGGAACAAGCCTAACTTGATATTGACATGGCAAGTAACTAAGTTGCATTGCTCCTTCATATTGTGCTCCAACTATTAGAAATCAAAGGAATTGATAAAAAGAACGCAAAAACAACAAAGTGAAAGTGTGAAACAAGCAGGTGCTCTTCTGTTAGTAGCCTTTGTTTCCTCGTATCCTGGCTCTCATGTCTACCTAGAGAAAACACAATTCGACATCCAATGAGTCCAAGAGACTGTAATCTATTGCAACATCAATTCAAGAATCAATATTTTATGCTTCACAATTTTTCCTCTCAAAGTTGAATGTAACACTCTCTAAGTGTTCACAAGCATGCTTAATCTTATTTTTCGGCAGATATGGTTCCTATCTTTTATAAATCATGGATGATTCCAAAATTACATTATCACAATGGGTTTAATGAAAAAAATGAGGCTTTTCAAGTGGTGAAAGCAAAACATACCTGTCCTCTTTTACAGTTGAAGTATGTTTCTCTTAGGCCAATACACTCACTTGGTATACATGGGCTCTTTTCACCTGCGCAGTCCCTAATTGACCGTTTCTCGCCCTACAACACATTCAGAAATAAAAATGAAGTGAACTGGTAATTAGTTAACAGGTTAAAAAAAAAAAAAAAACAGTCTCTACATAAGTTGAGACATTTTATGTTATATTTACCTTGACGCAGGTCGATTCACTGAGACATTTGACAAGCTCTTCAGCAAGACCCTTACAAGACTTCGCCATTTCAACTGTTCCTATGCAAAACCAGCCAATATATCAGAGCATGTTTCTAACAAATGAGTTTTCAGGATATTGTGATGAACCGCAGAGCCTCAAAGATCTACTGTAACACTCAAACAAATTCAAACAAAACTAGTCCGCAAATCCCGCCAAAGTAAATCAGAGCATGTTCTTAACAAATGAGCTTTCAAGGTAATGCAATGCTTCACCGCAGAGCCTCAAGGGCGTTTTCTGAAGAAAAATGAGCTCTAGTATAAAACTCAACAACTACACAAAATCTGAAAATCCCTCCAAACAAACCAAGAACTGCACACGTGTGTAACTATGAATGATTTCACTTACTAGAAATCACAATTAGCAAGCATCGAACTCAAAACAACAAATTGCAGTTGAGCTTCACAACAGAAGAAAGCTTAGTTTTTGCCTAATGGGATCAATCCAAAAGTCCCGTTTCAATCTAAGAATCTCAAACTTATGAAGAATCCTTGGAAAAAAAAACACCCAGAAAACACCGAAACTCATCCGATTTCTCCAAAAGAAAATATTTCTCTTTCAATCACAGATTATAAAGAAAACAATCTGATTGCTCTGTTCTGTATTTCGCCAACTCATTTTTGCCTCAAAAGAGTATGATCAAGAGCCTAATGGAAGAAACAATTACAGAGAAATACAACACAGAGGATCTGAAGAAAGAAGATTGAAGGTAACCGACTTACCGGCGACGGAGAGTAAGAAACGGATCAATGTCGACGGAGACCCGAAAGAAAGAGGTTTTTCCAATCCAAAGGGTTTGGTTTTCTTCAATTTGTCCTTGCTGAATACCGGTCGCTCTCTCTGCGCATCGGTCAACTCAATTTTGGTTCGGTTTAGCATAATTAACCGAGTTAAAACCGATATAATTTGGTTTGATCGGATTCTTAATTCAAATTCGGGTTTAAACAAAATTATGTTTCAGCTCTTTTCCGGTATAATCAAGTAGGGTCAGGAGCATTATTTTACCAATCGTTTTTATTTGTCGTTTTCTTTTTTTTTCTGTCTTGTTTGTACGCATTTTACATTCATCTAAAATGTGATATGATTCTCTCTATAAACGATTTGGTTCTAATCATCGGATAAATTAATTTATAAATAATTGACGCAGACATCTCTTCATCGTTAAGTACATGGAGATCATCGAGGAGATGGTGCAGGTGAAGGTGAAGGTGCAGGCGCAGACGCAGACGGTATTCGAAGGTGTCTACAAGGCAGCTCACTTTCCTTCTTGAATAGAAGTCCAATATGAGTTCCACATGCTAGAGAAGGCCAAGCGTAGCTTGCAAGGGTCGATTCCGACTTCAAAACGTCACCTTTAGTTTTTTAACATCGACCATTGATGAGTCAATATGTCAAAATAAACAAAAACATTGGAGAGACTAATTCAGAGCTTTTATTGATTAGAGAAATTTTATCAAAATATATTCAAGATTAACAAAACAATATACTAACCAGCTGCATGATGATTGGGTATACTAGCCTTTGTGTCTCGAACATGAAGTGATAGACAACAAAACATAAGAAGCAAACTTAGAAGAAGACAAGTTTGTGTTTTTATTGTTGCCATTGCTCCTCTCTCATGTGCAGACCAGTTTTAAGATCTATATATAGAAATTTATGGAATCTGCCCACGTGAAGAAAATAACTTCAGCGGTAAGAAAGTTTATTAACGGCTATTTTCCTAACTAATTAAAACAGTAAAATTATTTTCTATGAATATTTATTACTATTTATTTTAAAATTTTATATTCATAAATATGGTGTATGTTTATCTTTTCTTACATTCATGTCATTTTTCAACTGTGATATATTTCCATTTGATGTATAATTAATTAATTTTTATACCATTAAAATATAGATCTTAACCAAAAATTAAATTGTCATATTTTTGGAAGAAAGAAACATTTTATTATGTATTTTTCCAATTATACCCACTACTTTATATTCATAAACAAATTTTGCTAAGCTGTAAGCTTAATCTTCAAAAGCATAAAATAAAAATTTATGTTGCGTTTAGCTGGTAAAAATTATTATTTAAAATGTAAAAACAAACTGTATATTTAACTATTTAAGTATGATGTGATATTTATTGAACTTGTTTTTCATAGTAAATCTAAAGGTAAATGCAAAAGAAAAGTTTAAGAAATCAAAGCTTCAGAAACTTGAAAAGTGGTAAATAACTGTCGGTCAGTAAAAAATCATATCCCTTATACATAGATAACGACTCAAAACGCTGTTTGGTCATGCCTTCGTGGATTCCAGTAGCTTGTACCACCACCGTGTCATTACATGGTTTTGCGTTTTAGGGTCTTCGAAAGGCTATTCTAATGAAGCTGTGCAGTGTCAGTTTACGCACACTCGGCTAAGAGAAGAAAGAGCTCTTCATCAGTTATGGCTCCCATTTCCATCGCTCTCTCTAGCACGCTTAGCCCTCCATCGTCCTCTATCGATGGGCGTGCTCCTCTGCGTTTACAAAAACAATTTCAGAAAATATAAGTTCAACCGTTTTAATTCCTTATCCAAAAACTAATTCAAGAAAAGTAGGTGACAATGGAGGAGCCAAGGTACCAAAGAAACAGAGCAATGGAATCAACAGGAAGCGGAACTAGTTCGGTCCAAAAATAGAACGTAAAACAATAAAGAGTGCGTTCCTGAAATGTTAAAATATACCTTCGCAGTAGAATCTTTGCAAATTTGTGGTTCCCAGATGATATGCAATGGTGTAACGGAGTCCTTCCGTGATAATCTCTTATGTTTAGGTCAGCACCAAACTGCAACAACAGTTCAAGCAAAACTGAGTCACCAATGTGACAAGCCACATGGAGCAAGGAACAGCCTTGAAGACAGTTTCCTGCTTTGTTGGATTCTTTGATTCTCAGACACACAGTTGGGTCATGTCTTTTCTTTACTGCTTTCTCTGCTGCATCAACATGGTGATATGCATCAATATCAGTTATATCATCGAACTTGGTGTTGATGATATTCACATCCCCAGTAGTAACAATCAGTCGATAGATTTCTCGTATGTTTCTGCTTTGAACAGCTTCCCATATTCTACTCGCAGCAGAAGGTTTTGCTTCACTTTCATCCTTGATGACTAATGCTTTCTCCAGGTACTGGCCCAAACAAAAAACATCAATCGGGTTTAGTAGTTGTTTTTTGCATCTTTGCCTTTCCACAAAGCATATTAACTCACTAAATGAGTAAACTGACATCGATCAATCATTCCCGTGAAGATAGATTTCACGACTTGGACATTAGAAAGTAACAACTAATGCCATACCTTTCCTAGAATGTATTTCTCCTTCACACTAAAGGAATCTTCTGGACATGGTTTTGAAACTGAAGCATGCGGCAGTGCTGATCTGTCTTCGCTGCAAAAAGACAATATACCTCATCAGCTACATGCATGATCTATGAAACAGGAGAATGTTGGAAGATACAGTGTTTGATAATTGATCAATACTTCAAATGCAGAACAAATATTTAATTCTTAGAGATCATACCAGTCATCGTCAAGGTGCAGTAGTCCCTCCCACAGTGAATTACAGTACACATTGCCCAAATTTCTAAACAAGTCCAAGATCGTTGGCTCCCACACTTTCACATCTAATGAGAGGGACCTCACCTGCAGTTTGTAGGGTACAACATTTATGACATCAGCTTAGAGATATAGCACTGAGGAGACACCAAAGAAAAAATCCATTAACCAACTTAATCAGGATACTTGACCCCTCCAAAGGTTATAACTAGAGTGATGTTGACTTTTGCAAGAAATTTAAAAGCTGGTGGAGTTAATTTTACTAAGAAACTTCAGAATACCACATTGAGTTCTACAAATTCTGGATGACGAAGAGAGAGAAATTAACGACTTGGTGGTATAAGACAAGCTAGCTCATACAGCAAGAAATCTCAAGGAAAGATGTTTAATAAATTGTTCCAAGAATAGTTCATACTTAATAGTTAATACCTTGGATATATGAACGCCGAGATTCCTGTGAACACCAGAGCATTGAATGCACAACAAAACTCCAAGATTTAATGATGCCCAATCGGGCTCAGGAGCATTGCACTCTGCACATGCATTATTTCCCGGAATTCCTCTGAGTATTGTTGAGACATCATCCCCGATATTCTGTCTTGCATCATTATGTCGAATCTGATCCCCGGAGACGACAGCATTAGCAGGAGCAGAACTAGTGTTGCTCTTATCCAAGAATCGCACTGGTGACTGCAGAAACGATTTGTATTAGCAAGAAGGCTTTGCTATCAGTTCAGTTTGTAAATGAAAGAGAAGCCAGAGGCTTATTGTGTCAACCTGTTGTAGAAAATGAGAATTGAGAAGCGTTCCTATAGCTGTTGTGATCTTATTTACCCAGTCCATCCTATCTGCTCCATTTTCAGCCTGGTGATGTAGTACTTGGATTAGGGGACAAAGATACTAAATCTGTGACTGAATTGCACCAACTATATACTATCATTGTAACCAAAAACCAAGCCAATTTCAAGGGGTAATCAAAAAGCAAAAAATAAAACAAGAATGACAAAAAAGTATGCAGTGAATAAACGATAGACTTGCTAAGAGGGTCCATGCAGGTTGTCTACAAGGCACAGCTCTTTTTATATATAATTAATTAGGAAGAACCCAACAAGAAAAGTTCAGTACTACGTAAGCCCTGTGACTTGCAACCTAGTCTATAGCGAGTACACTGGGTACCTGAAGTGTGTAAGTTTTTTGAGGTGAAATAATTCTGAAACAGAGCCGAAGATCCATGTCTTCTGCATCTAGTTTTATCAAAGAAGTGCGGAGGTCAATAGTATTATAGCCTAAGCTGCCCTCAGTGAGAGAACCTGATCGATTATGTCTTGCACGAAACCGACCAAATACGCCAGTATTATGGTCAGATGAACCACTATAGTGATGCTGAGATCCCTGAGATTACGAATAGCAGAAAAAGTTAATCGTTATAAACAAACATAAACTATGAATATAAAGAAAGATTAAGGACTTGCTTAAACTGTTAAATAGATGGTTAGTTCTAGAATCTATACTGCTATTGATATAAACAATAGCATGAGGAAGTGCCAAGTAAAATCTACGTGCAACTACTCATTAAAGGCTTAATATTCCTAGACCTGATAGGCTTTATATCAGAATCCACTATATTTTTAGAGACTTTCGACCTGTTTCTTCTCATTTATTGTCCCAGCATTTCATAACAAATCTATTATTCATTTCAGGGGAAAAGGACTTATAAAACAATCAATGAGATTTAAGAAGTTGTAATAATTGGCACGCAGAACTATAACCAAATTTGAAAGAACTAATGGACGTCTCTCATGGAAATGAGGCAGAAAAAAGAGGTTTGCACACGTACCATTGATTTATTACCATTAGTTCTGTAATAGTACATGGAGCCATGACTGTCAAGGACAAAAAACTTTCTTTTCCAATCAGTTCTCAAACTTGACGAACGCTTTAATAAATACCCCTGTTTAATTACCTGCATCAGTACAAAAAGGAACTCTGTAAGACTATAAGAAATTCAGCCTGTGCTGGAAAATTAAGTGTAAAATGGTCACAAAACGAGTCTCTATATGTTGCATAATCACATTGGCGCGCAAGATGCTAGGAATAATTTTGTTAAGGGGTATCAGGAAAATGACATAATCTAAAATGTATCAACAGATGTACAACATTGAGTGACTTAAGACAATTGTGTTGCAGATAGTAAAAAACAATGACAAGCAAGATTTAAGCATCCAATTCCAGTAAAAGGACTGTTCCATTTCCTTAACAGTCATTTTCCACCTTTACCCATTTCCCTGTGGTGAGACGAAAAACACTTAAAACGTTCTTAATCAATTGATCACCACAAAAACACCAG